AAAAAAAAAAAAAAAAAAAAAAAAAAAGAAACAATACTAAAGGAGTGTTTTTCAAATGGTAAGTTATGATACATCAGTGAATTATCGGGGCTAGGGATTTAGCTCAGCAGCAAAAGCGCCTGCCTGGCAAGCGCAAGGTTGTGAGTTCAGTTCCCGGTACCGGAGAAAAACCAAAAACAAAACCCCAAAAACATCAGTGAATTATCAATTGTGTGTACTGTAATAATTATGATAAGCTTTAAAAAAAACAAGACGGATTAGATTCAAATAGAAGAGGAGGGGCTAGGAATAGAGCTCAGTGGCACAGTGCCTGCCTGGCAAGCCCAAGGTTGTGAGTTTCATTTTCAGTACCAAAAGAAAAAAGAAAAAAAGAATAGAAAACTATGTGCGTGCTGAGTCTGGATAACAAAATTATGTGTGTGAGTTGTAGTCAACCAATTTTCTAAAATGTGCAAGTCAGTAATATTCAGATTTGTTGACCATAGTCCACACAAAGAAATGATTACATTATCCCGAATAATTTAGTAATAAAGGAATTTTAAATGTATATATTCTAACTTTTATATAATTATTAATAAATTAACACTGCTGTATTATTAAATTTGAATTCTAAAATAACACTGCCATCTGGTGGTTATTTTGAGCATATGTTTTTAATTCCCTTGGGTAGGTGCAGTACCTGCCAGATGCATGCAGTTGGCCAATAGCCAGTATCTTTGTTTAACTTGAGAAGTGGCCAAACTGTTTTCTAAAGCTGCTGCACCATGTTACATTTCCTCCAGCAGTGTATAAGCAATTTCTCCATATCCTGGCCAACACTTGATTTTATGAGCTTTTTGTAGTCATGCTAGTGGGTGTAAGGTAGAATCATATTGTGGTGGTTTTGTTTGTGTTTTAGAATTGGGAATTGAATCCAGAACCTTTGCACTAAGATACACACCCAGCCCTTTTGTCTTTTTTGAGACAGAGTCTAGCTAAGTAGCTAAGTTGCCTATGCTTGGCTTGGATTTATGGTCTTTCTGCCTCAGCCTCCCATAGAATCCTTGTGGTCTTGATTTGCATTTCCTTAAGAAGTAACCCCTGTTGAGCACTTTTGCATGTGATATTTTGCCATTTATATGTCCTTTTTGTTCATTTGTTTGTGAACTGTTCAGGTCCTTTAATTTTTTTTTTTTTTTTAGATAAGATCTCATTGGGTTGCCCAGGCTGGTCTTATACTCCTGAACTCAAGTGGTCCTACTGCCTCACACTCCCAAGTAGCTGGGAGAATACACTCCTTGCCCATTTTTGAATTGGGTTATCTTTCTATTGCTATGTTGTAAGAACTGTATGCATACTGCATTCTTGACCTCTATCAGATTTGTAAATCTTTTCTCCCATTGTACAGATTATCCTTTTTTTTTTTTTTTTGTCTTTTTGAGATATAGTCTCACTATGCAGTTCAGGCTGGCCTTGAGCTCACTTTGCAGCCCAGGCTGGTCTCGAACTTGCAATGATCCTCCTGCCTCAGTCTCCCAAGTGCTGGGATTACGCAGATTGTCTCTTTACTTTCTTGATGATGTCCTTTGATGCACAAAAAGTTTAATTCTGCCAAAGTCCAATTTATCTTTTGTCTTTGCTTTGTTCCTTGTGCTGTGGCATCATATAGGAATCCATGGCTAAAGAGAAGGACATGAAGATTTTGTCTTCTTTTTGGCAATAATAAGGATTGAACTCAGGGTCTCCCCGCTGAGCTAAATCACCTGCTCTCTTTTTCTTTATTTTGAGATATGGTGTCTTTAAATCATTAAATTGCCCAGGTTGGGCTTGAACTCTCTTTTTTTTTTTTTTTCTTGGCACTGGGACTTGAACTCAGGACCTTGTGCTTGCCAAGCAAGGCATGTGCCACTGAGCTCTATTCCCAGCCTGGATTTAAACTCTTAATCCCCCTGCCTTAGTCTTCCAAAGTGCTGGGATTACAGGCGTATACCAGTACACATGCTGTGAAGGTTTATCTTGATGTTTTTTTCTAAGAGCTTTTTATTGTTTTAGTGCTTTCATTTATGTCTCTGATCCATTCTGTATTAATTTTTGTATAAAGTATGACAGCATACTTGTTGGCATACTTGTTGAAAACCATTTGGCCACAGGTTTATATCTAGACTCCCTTTTTTTCCTGTGCTGGGAATTGAAGCAAGGGCTTTGCATGTGCTAGACCAGTGCACGAAGACTGACTGAGATCCACACACATGACTGAGATCACAGGCAGGATGGGGGAGAGAAAGTGGAGGCAAGCAGGGCTCTCTTAAGTGATACAGAATTTGCCAAACTCACTTCTGCTGCTATTCCACTGACAGGAACTTAACCTCATGATCACACTTCAAGGCGAGAGTAACGTAGCTAAATGTGTTACTGTGGATGAAGGCATGAGCAGCTTTGGGGGGACCACAGTGGTCTGCCGCAGCATTCCTGCCCTTACTTTACCTTTGGGAACACCTCCTCCCGGGATTTACACCAGGAACCTGGCAGTCATCTCTGACACCATCTTCCCCCTCGCCCTCTACACCAAATCATTAAAACGGTGGGTTCTCTTTAAATTCGCACTATTCCTTATCTACTACTTTTCTTATTACATTATTGTAGACTTCTTTGTCTCCATCTACACCGAGGCTGTTCTTCACACTGCAGCCGGACGTATTCTTCCTAAAGTGTTGTAAGCTAAAATTGTTCACCTTCCAAAATGCAGATCTAATTATGTTCCCAAGACCTCTCCTTCCTACCCATCTTTTTTCTTTCTCTCTCTCTCTTTTTTTGTCTTTTTGAGACAGGGTCTCCCTGTGCAGTTCAGGCTGGCCTGGGCCTCACTTTGTAGCCCAGGCTGGCCTCAAACTCCCAACCATCCTCCTGCCTCAGCCTCCCGAGGCGTGCGCCACCACACCCTACTCCCATCTCTTGTATTAATCTAATGCTAGATTAATCAAGGCAATGGTGTAGAATCTGGTCATGATAATTCCAAATCACATTTTAGTCATAACATTGAATTCAATGGACTTAAATTTGCTTACTAGAATGACTTTAAAAAATTTAGGAATAAATTTACCTTCTATAAAGGCCACTCAAAAGTAGAAGAAAGCTCCTCAGGGTGAGTGCAGATGAACGTTTCACTTTCTTTTCTAATTAAGTTTCTGTCAACACTCTCTAAAACAGTACTTAGGTAGTCTAAAAGCCATAGGGCTAGTCACCATACTCCCATACACGCAGAACAATCTTGTCCTTTTTGTCTTCCTGTATCTCAAGTGACCAAAACATAGTAGATACTAGTATCTGTCGAATAAATGAATTCCTGCGGAGCCTTTAAGGACTATACCGCGAACCACAAATTCACATTCCTATAGGAGATGAGCAGATATGTATGTAAATTAGGGCCCATAATCAACGGAGCAGTGTAAACCCCATCTGGAGTACTTTCCTTAACTAGCTTTGCATAACAATCCCTTTACCACACCTCTACAAAATGCAAAATCAACTTCACCCCTTCAAATGTCAGTTTTTAATTTTTTTTTTTTTTTTTCTCTTTTTGAGAAAGGGTCTTGCTATGCAGTTCAGGCTGGCCTTCTGCTCACTTTGTAGCCCAGGCTAGTCTCCAACTTGCAGCGATCCTCCTGCCTCAGCCTCCCAAGTGCTGGGATTACAGGCGTGCGCCACCACGCCCAGATGTCACAGTTTTTAATTCGATTAGCTGTTATGTTCAGGTTGTACTCCCTAAAATGATCTTGAATCCCAGAATTGACTTTATAGCAGCACCTATTCCAAGAGTACGTTTTCTTTTCCAGCACTGGGCTTTTTTTTTTTTTTCGGTCTTTTTGAGACAGGGTCTCGTTATGCAGTCAGGCTGTCCTTGAACTCACTTTGGTGAGTTCTGGCTGGTCTCGAACACAGCAATCCGCCTGCTTCAGCCTCCCGAGTGCTGGGGTTACAGGCGTGCGCCACCACGCCCGGCCAGCACTGGCTCTTGTTGAGGACATTTCCTATGAACTCGTTAGCGTGATTTTTGCAAAGATCTCTCTTCCACAAGCTGCTCTCTCACCGCAGACCGGCCTAGGCCAGAGACTGAACGGGACCCAGGCCGGCTCGGGGCACGAAGAGCATTTCCGCCGACGGCGGGCTGGGAAAGGGCGCCTCTCCCGGGACGGAGGTGGGTTGTGCACGGCGAAGACAGCCAACGAACCCCCAGGTCAGTCCCTGGTGATCAGGGTCTCCCGTGTAATAGTCACCCTCTCTCCCTGGGCCTGGCGCTGCAACCACGCCCGAGCGCGGGGAAAAGGTGAAGGTCGCCACTGACGCTCCCAAAGTGCTAGACGCAGTGAGGAGACCGATTGTCCCCGTAGGGCTGTGGGAGAGGGGCGGGGCCGAGTTGTCTTTCACAGCGCTTGCGCAGAGAGCGGGTTTCCAGGGCTCCGGAAGAGACAGCGGGTGAAACACGCCAAGCGCCAGGGACCCACTGTGTGCGCAGGCGCACTCAGCGATCTCTTGCTTCTCTGAGAGCCCGTTCCCTTGCGGGCCTCGGGGGGCGGGGCAGGAGGCGTGTCCCGGGGCGTGGCCAGGGGAGGCAGAGTCCGCCTTCCGCTCTTCCCCTAGCCGCCGCGGCCGCCGCAGTTGTCGCTAGGTCTTGGGATCTGGGGAAGTCATGCTGCCCAACACCGGGTAAGGGGATGGGGGCAAGACTTGGCGGGATAGAGTGCGCGGCTCGGTGGGGATGGCTCGGCGAAGGGAGGGTCACGGAGGCCGGCGCAGCGAGCTCGGGAACCCGGATCCGCGCTGGCCCTCGTGCACTGTGGATCTGTCGCGTCGCGTGGAAAAGTAACCCGAAGTTGTGTTCACACTGTAATCAGGAGGGCAGCAGTGTAAAATCCTCGTCCCCAGGTAACGCGTCAGCGGTGGATTTCCCCGCCGCCCGCAGTGGTAGCCTGATCTTGGCTCTGGCCAGAGCTGCTCGCCTGGCGTCAGGAGGGCGAATTCTAGGTGAAAGGTCACTGGGACAGCTGGGGCCCGCAGGATTCCGCTAGGTCCGAACGCTTCGTTGTAGAGTAACAAAATAATGGGGTCCTTTGAAAACGATTTTCAAATTAGTAACAAGTTGAACTGTTCTTAAAATATGGGTATCTTTAGGGAGAGATTTTTTTTTCCACTTAAAAAATTTTTTTAAGTGTGACAAAGTACCCGTGACATAAAATTTGCTGACCTAACCGTGTTTAAGTGTACAGTTTAGGAGCGACAAGTATGTTCACATTGTTGGGCCGCCAACCCCTACAGCTTTTCATCTTCTAAAACTGAAACTATACTCACAAAACAATGTCTCCCAATTTCCTCCAACCTCCAGACCCTGGCAACTGTCAACTTCAAGTATATTAAAATACCTCTTGGAGAAGAACAAATAGGAATTATTTGCCCTATCTCTTATCGAGGCTAGCTCTTTCCAAGCCAGGTGTGGTGTGGTGCACACTCATAACCCTTGGTACTTAGGAGGCTGAGGCTGGATTGGAAGTTTTTAAGGCCAACCTGGGAAACTTGATGGACTTTGTCTCAAAAGTAAAAGGGGTGTGGTGGCCGGGAATATAGCTCAGTGGTGCAAGTGCTTGCCTGGCAAGCACAAGGTCCTGAGTTCAATTCCTGGTATCAAAAAAAAAAAAAAAAGTAAAAGGGGTGGAGGTGTAGCTCAGTGATAGTTTGTCTGCTGGATCAATCCCCAGTGTGTGTGTGGGAGACACACTAACCAGTGTTTAAAACAGCGGCTGGTAATTATTCACAGTTCCTTGGGTTGTGTGGGTTTCCTGCTCCACACACTAAGCTGAGGTCATGCAATGTGGCTGCATTTAGCTAGGAGCTTGGCTGAAATGTCTAAATAGTTTCTCATCTTACAGGGTTTCTTTTTGAGACAGGGTCTCGCTATGGAGTTCAGACTGGCCTTGATCTCCCTTTGTAGCCCAGCCTGATCTTGAACTCGCAATGATCCTCCTGCTTCAGCCTCCCGAGTGCTAGGATTACAGGCGTGTGCCACCACGCCCGGCTCCCCTCCAGGATTTCTGTCTGTGTGATCACTCATCATTTAGTAAGGGGTTCACTTCTGTGCAGCATGGCATCTGGCTTCTAAGAGTGGGAAAGTGGGAACTGCCAGCCAAGAATGCCACTTCTCTCACATTGTTTTGGAAAAAAGAAAGCCGTAACCCTACTCCAGACCCAAAAGGAGGGGAAATACACTCCTCCTCTTGATGGAAAGAATGCCAAAGAATTTTTGATTATCTTTGGCTCACAATAATGTATGATAAGCCTTAGGTCTGATTAGTAGGTATGTGTTGTAGACTAGAAACTCTTGCACATGGGACTGGAAGATGCGTACAACAATAGTTACAGCAGCGTTGTGCATAATAGACAATACACTAGAAACCATCCCCAAGTCCATACGCAGTAGAATGAATAAATAATTTATAGCGTGTTTATATGTGGAATCTCATATAGTAATAAAAGTAAAACAAGTATGCTTACGTGGACTGACATAGATAAATCTCCAAACAATGTTTGAAAAGAAGCAAATGCTAAAACATGTACTGAGTGATTCTATGTATAAAGTTCAAAATTAGACAGAACCAAGATGAGACCCATTAATCTGTATAACTAAAATGCAATAATAAAAAGTATGAAGCAAATTTTTAAAAAATGGGGTCAGGGGTATAGCTCAACAGCACAGTGCCTGCCTGGCAAGGTTGTGAGTTCGATTCCTGGTACAAAAAAAAAAAAAAGAAAAACCCGCAACAAATTCAAAACAAACAGAAAAAGGTAGAAGATGGTTGGGTTTTTCAGAGAAGACAGCTTCAAAGACCTAGTAAAGGATTCTAGTTAAATGTGAACCTCTAAGAGCTTTCTAAATTGGGTTTGTAATAATCCAGTGGTGTATGCATGTTTCTAAGGCCTCAGTGTGTAGGGATGTGACATATATTAATAATTACACAGAACATTTCCTTGGAAATTTCCATTGTGAGTGCACAAAATGTCTAACAGGTTTCTCTTTTGAATTCTTCTGGAGGGGTTATAATTCTTAAGGAAAATAATGACTGATCTTTTGAACTGTTTCTACCATATTACATGGGCTGGTTTGTAGACCAACAACTGGAGCTCCAGAGACTTGAGAATGTATTTTTCTGCAGAGCTTAACAGCTTTTTATTTTTAGCAAAAGTATCTTATATTTATGTCACCGTAGTAATACCAATTTTGTCTTGTTGAGAATTATCAGATAAAGGAAAGATGATATTGAGAAGTTAGGCAAAACCTAAACAGTATTTTGTTTAGAACGTGGCGAGGTAGGATTTTTCTATAGAGGGCCGTATAGTAAACATTTGGCTCTGTGAGCCAAGAGGCAAAACTAGAGATACAAGTACTCATATAACAAGAAAGAAAACCCATGCCCATAATTCTGTGTGATTGATATTCAAGATAATAGGATACTTTTTGTAATACAAGTTCTACTTATCAGAAGGATGGGAATCTATTTTGGAGGTAAAGGCATTGTGTAATAGTTTCCTAGGCTGCTGTAACAAAGTACTGTACCACAAACCGAGTATCTTAACACAGATTTATTCTCTTCCAGAGTTCTGGAAGCTAGAAATCTGAAGTTAGGTTTTCAAAGGGTCTGTGCTTCTTCCGAAATCCTGGCCAGGGTCAGATTTGGCCCACAGACCATAGTTTGCTGACCTTGGTTTAAGCATAAATACACAGGTGTTAATGATAATATAAAACAAGGGAGGGGCTGGGGATTTAGCTCAGCGGCAAAGTGCCTGCCTGGCAAGCGCAAGGTCGTGATTTCGGTTCCCAGTACCGGAGAAAAACCAAAAAAAAAAAAAAAAACAAGGTAATAAACACTGATATTTAAGGTAGTTTTTACTTTGTGGGCGGGGGACAGGAGGGTGAGTAGAGCTGGAGAGGAAGAAATGAATGACTTCTGGGGTATTGGTTTCCTGGCACTGCTCATATTGGTTTTCTTTCTTAAGCTTTACTGTTTACACATTCATTTTACCTGCTTTGTGTATGTTTGCTGTTTCGCCATAAATGGTCTCTACCTCTCTGTCCCTTCCCCCATCTTTATTTTTCTTTCTTGTTACCAAAGTGCTTATTCCTTCTTTTAAAACCTCTTCTCCTTTTACTTCTGATATCCCGCCTCAGAAGTATCATCCTCCGGGCTTGGCAAGAGCTTTATGTTCTTTTGTTAGCAAGGTTGGCTGGTTATTGCTTTCCTCTTTGTCACTGTCACTTTTTGATCCTTCTCCTTGAGCAAATATAAATATAGAAAACTGTTTGCCCGTAGAAAGTAAACGTGAAAGCGTGCTTCCTTCCCTGGTGTTTCCTTCTCATTTAACGCCTGAGCAGACAGTGTGAAGCTAAGGTGGGGGTAAGGAATGAAGTGTTCCTAGGGAACTGTATGAGTTTCCTCTGTATTTGAGTCAGAGAATGTGTCTGATGAACCCTCAGCTCTTTATTGAGTCTTCTGGGTTTGTATGTTAGTAACTTTACTGAGATGTAATTCACACACCAATCAGTTCACCTGTTTAAAATACACAGTTCATTGGCTTTTAATATATACACCAAGATGGGCATGGTGCAGCATGCCTGGAATCCCAGTACTTGCTGAGGCAAGAGGATCACTTTGGATTTAAGGTCAGCCTGGGCTACATAGTGAGTTTGAGGCCAGCCTGGACTACATGGTGAGACCTTGTCTCAACAAGAAAAAAAATTCACTAGAATCATTACCTCTGTGTGTGTGTGTGTGTGTGTGTGTGTGTGTGTGTGTGTATTGAGGGGCAGTATTGGGGATTGAACCTAGGGCCTCACACGTGATAGGTAAGAGCTCTATCACTGAGCTACAGCCCGAGTCTGTTTTATTTTGTTTTTACTTGGGGGTGGGTAGGGTCTTCTTAAATTGCTCAGGCTGCCCTCAGACGTGTGGTCCTCTTGCCTTAGCCTCCTTTGTAGTTGGGAGTACAGTCATGCACCGCCATGCCCAGCCACAATCAATTTTAAAACATTTCCAACATTCCAAAAAGAAACCCCTATGCCTCGGCTGTCAACCCCCAGCTCCTCCCATTCCCCAGCTCTAGGCAACCACTGATTATATGACTCTGTAACATGTGGTTCTTTGTGCCTTCCTTCCTTTTGCCTCTTTAGTGAAACATATTTGGTTCACAATATTATACCATGTCTCAGTGTTTTCTTGCTTTGCATTGCTGAACAGTATTCCAGTGTATGAATATATCATGTTAGGTTTACTCATTTATTAGTTGATGAACATTTGGATTTCTATCCCTGCTACTGTGAGGTTTTTTTTTTTTTTTAGGCAGGGTCTCCCTCTGTAGTTAAGATGACCTTAAACTCATGGTGATCCTCCTGCCTCAGCCTCCCAATAAGTGCTGAGATTACAGGCATGCACCACCACATCTGGCTTGTGAGCATCTACTGAGCAATTACTTACTTTTAAATAATTTGAGTGTTATGTATTTATTGTAGAAAACTTGAAAAGTGTTAAAGAATATAAAGAATATGGTAAATTCACTAAAAAATAGACCTTGTTATTAGGTTTGGTGGCACAGGTCTGTAATTCGAGCACTCAAGAAGACTGAGGTCAGAGGATCAAAGGTCAAACCCAGTGTATACAAGACCTTGCCCCCCCCCACCAAAAAAAAGCTGGGGATGTAGGTGAATGTGAAGGCCCTGGATTCAATCCCCAGTGCCACCCACCAATTTTTTTTTACTTTGTGTTTGAGCAGATTTTGTTTGCCAGATCACAAAAACATCAGCCAACTGCAGTTGTCATGAATAATTTATAAGTCCTTGTGCAGCGGGAAGGTAGTGATTATGTAGTTATAGTATAACATGGACGGGCTGGAGAGAGCAGAGAAAATCTCACAGAGGAGCCACCACGGATATTATGAAAGCATGCATGAGCTCCTGCTATTGATGAGTAAAGGAAATATTGAGGTTTCTGATGCTCTTCTGCTCTGTTGTAGGAGGCTGACGGGATGCACGATTTTCATCACCGGTGCAAGCCGTGGCATTGGCAAAGCAATTGCATTGAAAGCTGCAAAAGATGGAGCAAATGTTGTCATTGCTGCAAAGACCGCCCAGACACACCCCAAACTTCCGGGCACCATCTACACTGCTGCTGAAGAGAGTGAGTGTGACCTTCACCGTTTCATAAAAATGTCCTCTCAGTGGTTTCAGTCCCTGATTTACTGAGAGTTCAGTTTGAACTACCTGTGTTTCCCTGAAAATAAGACCTAACTAGAGATCAAAAATGCCGTCCCAGATCAAACTGTCCTTGCCTTCCTTGCCGTTACTGAGTAGCCATTGAGTAGCGAATAAGAGAATACAAGAGAATAATGAGGTACGATCTTCTGCATAGCACTGGCCATCACCATGGTAATGACCTGCTAGTAATTACAGCTGAAGTTTATTTTCCAGTTAGGTCTGATTTTCAGCAAAACACATAATTGAAAGCTACTCTTAGAGAAGTATCTATCTTGATTTAAAAAGTGTCTGTTTTGTTACTCAGGAGCAGGCATTGCTTTTCTTCTCTAGCCCTTGGAAGTGATATGAGGGCCTCTAGTAACAAATGATGCTCAGGAGAGTGGTGCTTCTGGGATGGGAGGGAGATGGAGTGGAAGTGGACAGGAGACAGTTTTGAGGGTGGTGGTGCAAACGTTTTGGAAAAGTGTTATTTAGTATACATGCTTTACAAGTCGTTATTGTAATATTTTCAGTTGATGAGTAGTTATCTTATATTTAAGGCGTTACACTAGGCACAGTGCCAGGAGAAAGGGCTTAAATTCAACTTTAGTTAACATTGCTAGTTTTATTAGTAATGTTAATAGTATTGTGGTTATATTGGAGAAAGGTACATGAAATACTTATAAGTGAAATGATGCTGAGGATTGTTTTAAAATACAAACACAGGGGCTGGGGATTTAGCTCAGCAGCGCAGCGCCTGCCTGGCAAGCGCAAGGTCGTGAGTTCGATTCCTGGTACCGGGAAAACAAAAAACAAAACAAAAAAACCAACCAACCAACCAAACAAGAAAAATAAAATACAAACACAAACAAAATATGGCAAGGGGAAGATAAATCGGCAGAACTGTAGCAATCAGCTGACTGCAGCAGTGCACACCTGTAATCCTGGCACTCTGGGAGGCTGAGGCAGGAGCATCAAAAGTTCAACCCCAGCTTGGGCAACTTAGTGACTAAGTGAGACTGTCTCAAAATACAAATATAAAAAGGACTGAGGTACAGATCTGTGCAAAGGCCTTGGGTCTAGTCTCTGGTACTGCAACAAAATGAAACAAACAAAAAACAAACCAGTAACAATCACTAATGATAGGAGATTAGTGATAGTTTTTTTAAAACTATTCTTTGTATTTCATGTATTTTTGAAAATTTTCTGTAGTAAAATTTTTTAATTGCTTTCTTTTTACTGCTTTTTAATAGAATTTTTTTAAATACTCCCCTTTTTAATTTTAATTTTTTTGTTTTTTTGTTTTTAGACAGGGTCTCACATGTAGATCAGACTAACCTTGAACTCACTATATAGCCTAGGCTATCCTGGAACTCACAGCTATTCTCCCAAGTGCTAGGATTATAGACATGAGCCACCATGACAGGCTTTCTTTTTTGTTTTTCTAAGACAGTTGACATAGCTAGTGGAAAGCTAGATGTGACCAATCTGTCCTGTGTGTTGGAGTCACTAGTAATTATAAGACAGTTATTTATATTGATTTTCTAAAAGGGGTACTTTTTTCTTTTGCCTGTTATATCATAGTGGAAGGTATAATATTTGGATGCTTTAATGCTTTTTTGTTTGTTTATCCTTTGTAGTTGAAGCAGCTGGAGGAAAGGCCTTGCCATGTATTGTGGATGTGAGAGATGAACAGCAAATCAGCACTGCAGTAGAGAAAGCAGTCGAGAAATTTGGAGGTAATGCCTTTTTGAAATAATTATTGAATATTGATAAAATATAAGTCTGTCAACACCCAGTGGATACCTAAAACCGTGTATAGGTAGTTACTTTCCCATTGGTGGGACAAGTATACAACACCCACAACTTAAAGGAGGAGAGTTTTAATTTGGCTTATGGTTCAGGAGAGTCAGTCCATGGTCAGCTGGCTCCAAGGCAGAAATGTCATGGTGGAAGGACATGGAGGAGGAAGACTGTTCTCATGGCAGCAAGAAATTGAGAGAGAAGGGAGGAGCAGATGAGAGAGATACACACTCTAAAAGCATGCCCCCAGTGACACTCCTCTTCCAACCAGGCCCTATCTCCTAATCACATGTGACCCAAATCACCTTATAGAAGTTCTGTGTCTGAACACGTGAGACTTTTGGGAGGACATCTTAGAACTAAATCATAGCAATATACAGTGGCACCTCAGTTCATGAACTTAATTCTTTCCACGATTCTAGTTGCAGAGAACTGTGGAAAGAGTTTAGTTCATGAACTGAGGTGCCACTGGGTATACTCTGTCTTTTCCTATACAAACATACAAGTGATAAAGTTCAATTTATAAATCAGGCATAATAAAAGACTAACAACCATAACTAATAATAAAACAGAGCAGTAATAATATGCTGTAATGATAGTTATATGACTGTAGTCTCTCCCTTTCTCTTGTAACCTGAAGTTTAAGGTGGATAACTGATCACAGCATACTAGAATAACTAGCCTGAGTTTCTTCTTCCTTTTTTGTAGGTTCATCTATAGAAGATTCATTCTTACTATAGACCTTAGCAATTTCAGCAGAACACTATTTTTCTTTCCTTAGGTTGAGAACTTTTATTTTTTTACTTATAGGAAGCTGCTAGGTATGGTGGTGCACACCTGTCATCCCAGCACTCGGGAGGCTGAGGAAGGAGGGTCACTGTGAGTTCGAGGCCAGCCTGAACTACATAGCAAGTAGTTCACCCCTCAAAAAATTTACTTATAGGAAGTACTTTATGACTTCTTTGTGGCATATCTAAATGCCAGCTTCACTATCTTTACACTTTATGCCTCATTTTACTTAATAAGTAAAATAAGGTTACTTGAACAAAAGTGCTATGATAGAGCAGCAATCTGATAACCAAGACTGACTGACCGGGGAATAGAGTTGTGTTTGGTTCTCATCACTGTGACCAAATACCTGAGAGAAACAATTTAAAGGAAGAAAGATTTGTTTTGATTCATGGTTTTAAAGATTTCAATCCCTGGTGGGCTGGTTGCTCTTAGGCCTGTGGCAAAGCAGGAACGTCATGGCAGAAGGTCGCAACAGAGGGAAGCTGCTCACCTCGTGGAAGCCAGGGAACCGAAAGGGAGAGACTCGGAGAGGAGGGGTTCCGGGGCCAGAATGGTCCCTAAGGCCTACTCCCTCGACTAAGCCCCACCTCCTGAGTTGCTATCCCTTTTTTTTTTTTTTTTTGAGATAGGGTTTCACTACACAGTTCAGGCTGGCCTTGAACTCACCATGTAGCCCAGGCTGGTCTCAAACTCATAGTGATCTTCCTGCCTCGGCCTCTTAAGTGCTGGGATTACAGGCATGTGCCACTACCCCTGGCTTATCACCTTTTAATAAGGCTGTGAAATTATGATCTTATCACTGGATTAATCTAGTAACTGGATCTCATGATCCAGTTACCTTCTAAAAACCCCACCACTGCACACAGGAGTTCCCAAGACCAGAAAGGACCGCTTCCCCTTAAGAGATGGGTCTTGAGGGAAAGTGAGAGCAGTATGTGTGGAAGGGCCATAGGCCCTGGAGACATAGCAGAAAAGAATTTGACTTAATGTTTGTGGAGAAAGGAAGGGGAGACCAGGAGGTAAGAGAATAGACAGGGTGAAAGCTAGCTCCCGGAGTTTCCTGTGGCACTGTGTTGATTGGCAGTGTCTCCACTGTGCTAGTGAAAATCATGTACATGCTGGATTTTTTTTAGTACTGGGGGTTGAACCCAAGATCTGATCTTCCCAGCTCTTTTTTAAAAAAGGTTTTTTGGGTTGGTCTTTTTGAGACAGGGTCTTACTGTGCAGTTAAGCCTGGCCTTGAGCTCACTTTGTAGCCCCGGCTGGTCTTAAACTCACAACAATCCTCCTGCCTCAGCTTCCCCAGTGCTGGGAGTACAAGCATGCACCACCATGCCTGGCTTTAAAAAATTTTTGACACTGGATCTTCCTAAGTTGCTAAATTGCCCTGGTTGGCCTTAAACTCACTCTCCGTGATCCTCCTGCCTCAGCCTCCAGAGAACTGGTATTGTAGGCATGCACAGCCACACCCAGCTGTAGGTGCTATTTAGAGACAGCTGTTGAGGCTTACGTTACTGAATTAGTCAGTCATATTATATAAGAGAATTGGTTTTTTTTGGTCTTTTTTTTGGAGACAGGGTCTCGCTATGCAGTTCAGGCTGGCCTTGAGCTCAGTTTGTAGCCCAGGATGGTCTCGAACTCGCAACCATCCTCCTGCCTCAGCCTCCTTAGTGCTGGGATTACAGGTATGCGCCACCACCACACCCAGCAAAAGAAGTATTTGTGAATCAACTGAAGGTTCAGTGAAATAGGGTAAATGCTTTTCCTTGTGTCTGTATGTGAAAAAAGTCTCATATATTTAAAATCACATTGATTACTTTGGTAACAGGAATTGACATTTTGGTGAACAATGCCAGTGCTATCAGCTTGACTAACACAATGGAAACGCCTACGAAGAAGGTGGATCTGATGATGAATGTGAACACCAGAGGCACCTACCTGACGTGAGTCCCGGAGAAGTGTTGTGGGGGAGAGTGCTGCGATGTATTCTCAGAAAACTTACCTAGCTGTGAGCAGGTGGGAGCCAAATCAGGAGTACAGTTTGGAAGTCCACCAGGAAACTCAGCTAACTCAGAAAGCTGGAGGTATTTGTATCTAAGTGTGGTGCGGAAGGTTTTCAATAAAATGTAAAAAGGCTTGCTTGTTGCTTTGAAAGACACGCTTGATCTGAGGTTGGTACTGTAGTGTTGAGGACCAGCCTGGACAAAGTGCAAGTAGGAAGCTTCTGCCTGTAATCCAGGGAAAGCTCATATTTATATTGTCAATGAAATGAGTTCCTCCCTCGGAGTGTAAAATACGGTCTCATTGTCTGGAATACATTCAGTTTATTTCCTGTTGATGCTTTGAAGGTGCAAGTTCACTGTTTTAATAAAAATGAACTATAGTATTGCTTGCCCCTCTGCCCTTCACGCTGGGGGAGGTCAGGCATGTTTGGAGATGAAAAACAGTGAATACAAAAACCTGTTTCGATTGTAGTTGGTTTGTAAGCTTGAAAAGATACTGGAGTTGGTGTTGCATATAAGGAAATAAAACTGACTTGAAGGAAGAAGAGATTAGCTCAAAGTCTTAGTTGTCCTTGAGTGTGAAATAAAGCTATGAAATATTTAAGCTATAATATGTTATTTTCTATAAGGTGTTATAGTTTAATACTTGAAATTTTTTAAACGTTGTACACAAATCTTTTATAAAATAAATGACCTATCTTTATGAGCAGGTTTAAAAAATGAACTTATATATTGCTCCTAAGGGTGTATTAGATTTTGTGTTGGTGCAAATTAAAGTTGGGGATGTATTGAGAGTTATATTACTAAACTGCAGTTCTGGAGTTATATGAATACTCCTATAAAAGATAGCTTTTCCTATCTACATTCTAGAAAAATAAACAAACATATAGGGCAAATAAATCAGCAGATATAATATTGTGATAGCAGTAATTGATTTCACGTTTAATATATGCACTGTCCTGAGTATCTCATCTGTATCATCTCATTTTAATCCTTTGGCCAATTCCAGATGGTAGTTGGTATTACCAACCTTTATAGAGGAGAAAACTGCGAATAAGAATGTTATAAAATTTGCCCAAGGTCACACAATGAAGGGACAGAAGCAGCATTTGAATCCAGATCTGTCTTTCTTTTTTTTTTTTTTTAATTTGGTACCGGGAATCAAACTCAGGACCTTGCACTTGCCGGGCAGGTGCTATCTCCCCGCCCCAGATCTGTCTTGAACACCCATGTTCTTTAGCACAGAGCTGACTGACTAGTACATTAACTGTTCCTAAAAGTTCTGAGTGTGTTGTGGAGGGAGAATTGGGAACTGTTATGATTGGGCATAATGCTAATCTGTCAAGGATTTGACTTTTTTCAAAGCAGATCTTATAGTCCGGCCGTTAAGTAAAGTTTCAGTTAAGTAAAGTTTCAAAGCATGAAAGTTAGTGGCTTTTCCTGTCTTCATTCTAGAAAAGTAAACAAAAGTACTGTACAAACAAAAGTGAACAGTAAGTACTGTCTTAATTACTGGGGGAAGTTTAGTTCCTCTGGAAGAGTAATTTAAAATGTAACTTAGACATGGGAAGAAATTCTTAGAAAGCTATTCACTTGACTTGTGTTTTCTTTTACTTTCAGATCCAAAGCATGTATTCCTTTTTTGAAAAAGAGTAAAATTGCTCATATCCTTAATCTCAGCCCGCCACTGAATTTAAATCCAGTGTGGTTCAAACAGCACTGCGGTAGGTAGTAGGAGGAGAAGACGCTTGGTCTTTTTAATCTGTTTTGAATTAAATCAGTATATCTATTATATAATCACAATCTGTACACAGTAGACAGTATTGAATTTTCTGTAAATAAAATTTGGACATTGCAGATAATCATTTGCCTATAATTAAAAATTAAGGTATAATTTACTTTCAATAAAATCCACAGACATTAATGGTTCAGTTTAATAATTTTGACAAATGTATATACAGTACTTGTATAACTATTATGCAAATTAAGATAGGGATTTCCATGATTTAAAAAAGCTCTTTCATGTCCCAGTGGGTGTGTTTTATCATATGTAATTTATTCTTTAATAAAGTTAGTTAAAAATTATCCATGAAATATTTTACTTTTCATAGCAAACTAATGATTTAAGTAAGATGAGGATGTTAAGTAACAAGATTTATGTATAGGTGCTTCCTTTAAATCACTGTATCAAATACCTAGTTCTTATTTTAGTATAATTCACCAGCATTTGAAAAGGTGCTTGCAGTGGGAACCTAGTAAACAACACTGAAAGAAATTTTGGTGGTACTTGAACTGAGGCCCTTGCACGTGCTAGGCAAGCACTCTTAGACAGGTTAGAGCCCTTTATTTATTTCATTTTTAGATGTATCTCACTAAGTTCCTTGGCTGGCCTCGAACTTGCAGTCTTGCTGCCTCAGCCAGGCTTACAAGAATGCTCTACTGTGTCCAGTTTGTACCTTTTATTGTTGTTGTTATTCCTATTTATTTATTTACTAATTTATGTATTTATTTACGCAGTCCTGGGGATCAAACCTGGTACCTTGTACATTCTAAACACATACCCTTCCAATGAGCTACAAGATTTTATTGACAGTAGTTTCTTTAAATAATCACTTTCAGGGCTGGGGATTTAGCTCAGCGGCAAAGCGCCTGCCTGGCAAGCGCAAGGTCGTGAGTTCAATTCCCAGTACCAGAGAGAAAAAAAAAAGAAAAAAAAAAAAATAATAATCACTTTCATTTTGTTTTAATTTGTAGTGTTGGAAATTAGCTTTCATTCTTTAAAATGAAAAGAAAAAATAAATGAGGAAACAATAGTGTAATTTATTACCATAGTATTAAAAAAATGAAAGTTTATTACTTTTCCTTTTATTTATTTATTTTTTGTTTTTTTTTGTTTTGTTTTTCTCCGGTACCAAGAACCGAACTCACGACCTTGCGCTTGCCAGGCAGGCGCTTTGCCGCTGAGCTAAATCCCCAGCCCTTTACTTTTCCTTTTAATCGTATATCAGAATATAAAAAACTGTTTTATGCCTGTCCAGTTACTTCCACAAAAACTTTGTAACACATTTAAAAATCACATTTTGTACTTTATATGTTACCAAAATGAATTCTCAAAAACATGTCAGGGAATGGGGCTGGGGATGTAGCTCAGTGGCACAGTGCCTACCTGGCAAGTGCAAGGTCCTGAGTTTGATTCGCAGTACCAAAAAAAAGAAATGTCGGGGAGAAGATAGTAATAGAAAGAAGGTTGTTTCTATGCACCAATTAATTTGTTTCTCAAATTATTATTCTTTGTGGTTTCTTTCAGCGTATACCATTGCTAAGTATGGTATGTCTATGTGTGTGCTAGGAATGGCAGAAGAATTTAAAGGTGAAATTGCAGTCAATGCCTTATGGCCTAAAACAGGTATGTTCTTCTTAAAATCCAGTTTATTTGGTTTGCATTTGTTATTTTTGGCCCCTTCCATCCCTGTGCTGGGGATGCAGCCCAGGGCCTCCATCATGCTAGGTAAGTGCGCTTCCCTGAGCTACACTTCCAGCCCTGTCTTTGACACTCCTGACGTGTACCTTGAGTGAGGTGTAGGGTAGGCACGAGTAGATTGTCAGCAGTAACTTCAGTCATCCTGTTGTAAAACCAGCCAGATATTGTACTGTGCAGCGTAAGAGCCTTGTCAGGCATCTACCAGCTTTTACGTAGAGAACTTGGCTACTTGCGCCAGCAGCTGTAGGAGGAACACTGTACCCTGGGACGCTCGAGGAAGCTCATGAGGGCCAAGGGCAGAGGTGATTTCTCTAACTTCCTCTGTTTCTGTCTTAAGTCCTTCAGAGTCTTACACTTCCATTTTCTGCTCACGTGATTCAACAAATACTTTTTAACTCTTTGGGGTTCTTCACTTTTGTCTTTTTCCTCTAAAATACAAAGCTACACCCTCTGTACTTTCACATGAATCTTACCGAGCTTCCAGAGCGGTCAGAGCCCTCTTAGATGACAGAAGAGCCCGCACGTGTCAGGGTTCTGTATGTAAACTTGCAGTTAGGACATGACAAAAGCTGACAGTTCTTGGCTGTAGAATCAGTTGTATAAAGGAAGGGCATTTATGTCTTCGTTTTTGTTATTTTGTTCTTGTTCTTTTCTCTTTAAAATAAAAAAAAAAATCTATGTATATACGAGGATAGCTGGGATAAGTGTAATGCTGATGTCTGTTGGTTTATTGAAAGGAACAGTTACTGCTTAAATTTTTTTTCTTGACCAATTTGGCATGCTCATATCTGATAATCTGAACAACTAATTTGAAGACAACAATATGCAACATAACAACCATTGCTGAATTCCTGCCATCTTGTCTTGTGAAGCTCTGTTCATTTCTCATTTTTTTTTTTTTCTTTTTTTTTTGGTACCAGGAATAGAACTCAGGACCTTGTACTTGCCAGGCAGGCTCTTGTTCCTCTCAGCTATATCTCTGGCCCTTTTATTTTTAAATTACTTTTTATTGTCTTTAATGGTTTGATCAATCTTGCCTTCTTACATCTGGTAATCTGAGCAACTTCGTTGAAGATACCAATATGTAATATAACAACTGCTGTTAATTCCTATCATCTTGTTTAGAAATCCTGTATCGTTTCTATTGTTTTTGTGTTGTTTTGTTTTTGTCTTTGTTGTCATTATTTTGTTTTTTTTTTCTCTGTAAAAAAAAAGTGAGAGTGATCTGGCAAAAATGAGAGGACGGGAAAGCTTGTCTTTCTTGTGGCTTTTTACTCACCACTTTATCAAGATAGTGTAAAGAAAGAAGAAGAGAAGGTAGCTTTTGCCATTATACATTGTTATCTACTTAGTTGATCTACCCATGAAAATCGTAGCTTTCCATCTTTAATCTAAATAGCCATCTCATCCTGGAAAAGTGGATCTAATGATTAACAGAATACATTGTGGGGAACTTTTTAAAAATTTCACTCTTTACATTTGTCATGAACTTTTATTACACCAACAGCAGAACTTAAACAGAAATCAGTGTGGGGGCTGGGGATTTAGCTCAGCGGCAAAAGCGCCTGCCTGGCAAGCGCAAGGTCGTGAGTTCGGTTCCCGGTACCGGAGAAAAACCAAAAAAAAAAAAACAAAACAAAGAAATCAGTGTGGTCCCTTCCTAAAGAGTCACCTTACAAGTCAATACTGGGGCCCTGTGTAGAGAGGTCACTCAGGTATTTTTGAATGAATGGCGTTTTTTGATTCCTTTTGAAAGTCTCCTTACAGTTTCAGTACATTCCTTACAAACACTTAATTGACAGCAGATTGGAGCATTTTCCACTTCATTTGAGGGAGTGTGTGGGGTGATGACCGTTGAGTGCTTGTCCTTGTTGTCCTCCGTTTCTGCTACCAGCAAACTCACCTGCACGGGGCAGCTGTTAGACTGACAGGTGGGGAGGGCAAGGAAGGAATGAGCAAGACCTTGATTCTGTAAGAAAAGCAACTGAGAAGCTTGTGAGGACTTTGCTTCCCATTGGGTGAGAAGACAGAGTGGAAGCAGCAGAGAGCATTGGAGAGAGCATAAATACAGACAGTCCTCCGTCTGCGATGGTTTGGCTGAGGGTTTCCCACGCTTCAGTGGTAGGACACTATGTGCATTCAGTTGAAGCCACACTGCACTTCAGTCTTTGAATTTTGCTCTTTGCCTGGGCTAGCAGTTGTGTGGCACTGTACTCTCATGATGCTGCAGGGTGGCAGCGAGCCGCAGCTTCCAGCCAGCCATGCAGTCACGCAAGTAACAACCGATACTCCACAGTGTGCTCTGCTGTTTGTGCCTTCTGGATATTGTTTTGTGTTTTTGCATGCTAGTGTGTTTACGAAATGCCATCTTTGTCTGTATGTGTGTGTGTAAATTTTGTCATAAAATAGGTTTGGTGTTAGGTGATTTTGCCCAGCCAGAGGCTAATGTCATATTCTGAGCACATTTAAAATAGACTAAACTAAACGATGATGATTGGTGTCAAATGCATTTTGTTTGTTTGGGTTTTTTTTTTTTTTTTTTTTTTTTTTGCTTTCTTGAGACAGGCTTTCTCTATGTAGTTCAGGCTGGCCTTGAACTCACTATGTGGCCCTGGCTGACCTCAAACTTGTAGTGATCCTTCTGTCTCAGCCTCCTGAGGGCTGGGATTACAGGTGTGCGCCACCATGCACAGCTCAAGTGCATTTTTGAATATCTGTAATCCATCATCAGTTAAAGAGGATAGGTACTCAGAAGTTTCTTGGTAGAATTTGGACTTTGGAGATCTCAGGACTTCAGCAGAGTGGCTCAATAGAAGAGATGAGGGTTCTCCTTGAGGGTTAGACAGTGAGAAGTGTAAGGAGACTGTTTCTTTAGATCCCCAAATAGATTCCATGATGGTACAGCTGACGTACTAACTGTCCGTGGAGCAGAGACCATTGCCTTGGCTACTTTTGGCAGGGCTGCTATCATGTAAAGTGTGTAAGGGTGAACAGAACCTTAATCAGTCAAAGAAATATCGCAGTGCAGGTAAGGGAACCTATGTACGACACAGAAAGAATTAATAAAACCCTCAGAATTTCAGCTTTTAGTAAATAAAACTGTAGCTGGGTGTGGTGGTGCATATCTGTAATCTCAGCACTCAGGAAGCTAACGCAGGAGGATTGCTCCCAAGTTCAAGGCCAGCCTAGGCTACATACTAAGTTCAAGGCTAGTCTGAACTACGTATCAAGACTCTGTCTCAAAACAACAAAAACCAAACAAAAAAAGGAAAATAAAACTGCTAAAGAAACAGAAAATACCTTGACTAAAAACAGCAATTACATAAGAGATTGAATTATAACATGAAAAATACTTTTTGGAACTAAAACTAGATTTAAAAATATATATGTTGAAACCCAGGCCTGGTGGTGCACGTCTGTAATCCCAGCACTCGGGAGGCTGAGGCAGAAGGATCAT